GATGATGGTGGAACATCTTTCCACAAATGATGGTGGAACATCTTTCTACAAATGATCATTTTCGACAGTTTTTAAGTTATTTTGGACGACTCTTGAGTCAATTTGGATAATTTTATGTCATTTTGGACACATTTCAAATCATTTTGGACAATTACAGATTAGAGTCAAGTTGTTGGAAGAGCCATCCAGCATGGTGAAACATCTTTCTACAGCTGATGAGCAGAGTAGTGGGAAAAACAGCGAGTTTGTAGAGGTCATAAAAATGCAAATATTTAAAGCTCGATGGGGTGTTGAGCCACAATTTTTTCATTTTCATTCAAGGTTTTTTCAATTTACATATGGCAATTTTAACTTGTAGACACTAAATTCAAGAATTTTTCCACACATTCTATGGTCTTTTCTTCTTTGTAGATTTAGGATTCTGTGTCTTTCGAGACCGTTCAACAGCTTGTATGACTTTGCACGCGCTCAGTGGACACCGGCATTGAAATTTATGTTAATGAAATACAATCAGTAAATCCAATTCAAGACACTAATTCGTCTCCTGGACCAGATGAAACCAGACCAGACGCTCACATTTCCACCTCCAAACATGCCATCCTCCCGGCGCCCGGTCGCCGTGGTGACAGGTGCGCCCCGGTCTCGGATTAGCGGAGGCTCCTCTGAAAAAGGTCTCACAATGGAATTAGTGGCAGCGCAGATGAAATGGAAAAAGATAATCCCAGCGCACGCCGTCTGGAGATTACACACGACTCCCGTAATCGGGGAAAATAAACGACAGCGGGTCTGCAGCACATCTGGCTGCACTGACGGGAAAAAAACAAAATAATCACACCTGAGTTGGTGCAACAGGAGCTTTAAAACTGATTCAGGAGCGATATGCAGCCAGGTGGGACTCACGCTGGACATAAGAGATTCAATCTGAGCTTTTCATTTTGCTCCAAGATGAAAAGCTAATGGGATTCTTCATGCACCTGATCACATCAAATCAATCTGTATCTTCTGAAGCTGCTTCTTTTTTAATCTAAAATTCAGTTTCTCCATTGAGCTGCAGCAGATGAAGAGCAGCAACAAGAGAAAACTCACACTGAAACGGCCTCCACAGATGTTCACTTGTTCTAGTTTTAACGCCTGAAGCCTCCAGTCAGACGTCCATCAGTCACATTGGAGGCTTTTAATACTTTAATACTCGGCGCAGAAATGATTTTCTGGGTCCACCCTGACCTTCACCTCTCCGACATCTTTGGGACCAATCAGACCTCGACGGCCAACACCAGAGCTGGACCTCAGTGTTTCCTACAAGAGCAAATCTCCGCTGCCAAAGTCCGCCTGACTACCAGCAGAGTCGAGGCCGTTGGAGCAGATTAATGCTCAGAGTTTTCAAATTAGACGCTCGACAAAACCTGGACGGTTCAACGGCACAGAAGTCGAGTCATTTCACCCAATAGATGCAAAATGACCGTAAGAAGACTCAAACTGACCACAAATGAGTCCAAACAAGTGCAAAATGACTATAAAGAGACACAAAATGATTCCAAACAACAAGAAAAAGATGCAAAACTACTTTAAAAAAAAAAAAGTAATCTGATCACAAAAACAAGCTAAAAATGACTATTGGGTTTTATGTCTTTTTATACAGCATACGTAAACTTCTGGTTGTGACTGTAGACTTTTGGGATCTTTTGGAAACGAAGGAGGAAAAAGCTGATTAAAAAGGGAACCAAAAGGTGGAAGCACAATCTGTCGGCAGCCTGAAAAAGAACCAGACAGTCTGGTCGTCTTTTCTGTGCTTGTTCCTCATTAAATTAAAGTCCAGGTTTAGACGGATGTTTCCTTTTCGCTCTGCTCTCCTTCTCCTTTGTCCTGGCGCTCCCCTGTGACAACATTACAGACTCAGCCAGCTGTGGAAGAGGAAGTGAGCGCTGCTATTTTTACTCCGCTCCTCCAACACGCACCGACAGACACACAAAGCCCAGTAAACAATGCGGCAGGAAGGCATTACACCCGGCTCGCCTCGTTTTCATTAGGTAAACCCGTCCCGGCCGTCCTGTGCCGCGGTTACGTAACACAATCATCCTCGGAGGCAAAGTGAGTCAGGAGCGAACGGCACACTGAGCACGAAAAAAACAAAAGAGCTGCTCTGCTCATGACAAAAAGGCATGAAGCTAAAAGTCCCATTATCCCGTCAATGACACATCGCTGTGGACTTCAATAAGCTGCCGTTAGCAGATTACGAAACATTAAGAAGGGCAGTGACGGGCGGCCCGGCCTCCGATGAGTCACATCAGAACCGGTGAAGCCACGAGGTTTGTCAAATTTGACGGGCAATTTTTCACTCGACAGATTCTGAACTTCTACTCAGCGGCTGCAGCGAACGCCTGAAACACGATGCAGCTCTGTTCTTCGATCACGTTTCCTCTCAGAGTTGCACTGATTTAAACGGACACACAAACAGAACTGATCGACTTCATCGCTGCGTGCTGGAGGAGGTCGGGGTGTGTGCGTGGGCCAACAAAGCATCTGGACAAAACGACCAAACCCAACGGCGGGTTTGAAAATTGACCCGCTGTTTCTCGAAAAGCCTCACACGCTGCTCCAGTAGATGCTA